TACTATTCAACATAGTGCTGGAAGTTCTAGCCAATACAATTAGGCAAGACAAGAAAATAAAGGGCATCCAAATCGGAGCAGAGGTCAAACTCTCCCTCTTTATTGATGATATGATCTGAGAGAACCCCAAAGACTCAACCATAAGACTCTTGGAAGTCATCAAAAAATACAGTAATGTCTCAGGATATAAAATCAATGTCCACAGTCAGTTGCCTTTGTATACAGTGACCAACAACAGCCAAGATGAGAGGTTAATTAAGGACACAACTCCCTTCACCATAGCCCCAAAGAAAATGAAATACTTAGGAATATACCTAACGAAAGAGGTGAAGGACCTCTATAAAGAAAATTATGAAACTCTAAGAAAGAAAATAGCATAAGACTTTAACAAATGGAAGAACATACCATGTTCATGGCTGGGAAGAATCAACATTGTTAAAATGTCTATACTTCCCAGAGCAATCTACCGATTCAATGCCATCCCTATTAAAATACCAACATCCTATTTTTAAGACTTGGAAAAAAAGGATTCTGCATTTTATATGGAACCAGAAAAAACCCCATATAGCTAAGGCAGTTCTTAGTAATAAAAACAAAGCTGGGGGTATCACCGTATCAGATTTTAGGCTATACTACAAAGCCACAGTGGTCAAGACAGCATGGTACTGGTACAAAAATAGAGACATAGACATTTGGAATTGAATAGAAAACCAGGACATGAAACTAACAACTTACAACCACCTAATCTTCAATAAACCAAACAAGAACGTCCACTGGGGGAAAGACTCCCTATTCAATAAATGGTGCTGGGAGAACTAGAAATCCACATGTAAAAGACTGAAACTGGACCCACACCTTTCTCCAATCACAAAAATTGATTCAAGATAAAGGACTTCAATTTAAGGCATGAAACAACAAAAATCCTCAAAGAAAGAATAAGAAAAACACTGGAAGATACTGGCCTGGGGAAAGACTTTATGAGGAAGACTGCCATGGCAATAGCAACAACAGCAATAATAAACAAATGGGATTTAATTAAACTGAAAAGCTTCTGTGCAGCTAAGGAGACAACCACCAAAGCAAATAGACAACCTACCCAATGGGAAAGGATTTTTGCATATTTTGAATCAGACAAAAGCTTAATAACTAGGATCTATAGAGAACTCAAATTAATCCACAAGAAAAAAACCAACAATCCCCTACATCAATGGGGAAGCGAGATGAACAGAAACTTCTCTAAAGAAGGCAAACAAATGGCTAGCAAACATATGAAAAAATGCTCATCATCCCTCATTATTAGAGAAATGCAAATTAAAACCACCCTGAGATACCATCTAACCCCAGCAAGAATGGCCCATATCACAAAAATCTCAAAATTGCAGATGCTGTTGGCAGAGATGTGGAGAGAAAGGAATACTTTTACACTGCTGGTGGGACTGCAAACTAATACAACCTTTTTGGAAGGAAGTATGGAGAAACCTCAAAGAACTCAACCTAAACTTCCCGTTTGATCCTGCAATCCCATTACTGGGCATCTATCCAGAAGGAAAAAAACTCTTTTATTATAAAGACACTTGTACTAGACTGTTTATTGCAGCTCAATTTACAATCGCTAAAATGTAGAAACAGCCTACATGCCCCTCAACCCAGGAATGGATTGGCAAGCTGTGGTATATGTATACCATGGAATACTATTTAGCCATTTAAAAAAATGGAGATTTTTGCAGCATTTGTATTAACCTGGATGGAGGTGGAACGCATTATTCTTAGCGAAGCATCACAGGAATGGAGAAGCATGAATCCTATGTATTCAACTTTGATATGAGGACAATTAATGACAATGACATGGTCGGGTAAGGGGGAAGGGGAGAGCAGACAGAGAAGGCGGGAGGGGGTGAGGGAAAGGAAAAGAAAAAAAAAAAAAAGAAAATAGTGACTAATTCTCACATAAATTAGATTTAATTTTGACCAAAGTACATTACTTGAACATTAATTTTGTTGTTTAGGATATTGCATCCTCATTTATAAGTGAAATATGTTTGTAATTTTCCTTTATAATAATATATTTTTCCAATTTTAATATCAGGTATATCGAGATGAAGTAGAATGATTTTGAAGTATTTCTTCTTTTTCTATTGTCTATAAGATTTGGCATGCTCTGTTTTTTGAAACTACCTTCTATTTTTATTTATAAATACTAGTTGTCTATTTTTTGAGACTTTGGAAAAAAAAATAAGAAGTTAACTGATGGCTCCATACTGAACCTGAGTCAAAGCATTCTATGATAGATATGTTCTTATCTGACAATGTGAATGTTACTTTTTTTGCCTTATTATTATTGCTCAATATTTTGTTGCAGCAACTGTCTGATTTCTTTTCTGAATGTATTTATCTTCTTTCATTCTTTATGAGGTTTTTGTTTCTAGTCCTTATCTTAAACATTGTCAATGTTATTAAATTTTTAGCCTTTTTAATTTTGTGAAGGCAAAAAGTGGAAAACCAATAAACACATGTATATGTACAGAGAAAATTAAAAAAAAATTTTAAAGCCTCAAAAAAAAAAAAAAAAAGAGGGCAGCATCTATGGCTCAGTGGGTAGGGTACTGGCCCCATATAACGAGAGTGGAGGGTTCAAACCTGGCCCTGGACATCTAAAACAGCAGTGACAACTGCAACCAAAAAATAGCCAGGTGTTGTGGCAGGCACCTGTAGTCCCAGCTACTTGGGAGGCTGAGGCAAGAGAATTGCTTAAGCCCAAGAGTTGAAGGTTGCTGTAAGCTGTGAAGCTCTGTCTCAAAAAAAAAAACAAGAAAGAAAGGGAGGGGGAAGTGAGACTCTGTCTCAAAAAAAAGAAAAACAAAAATGAGCTGGGCATAGTGGTGGGCGCCTATAGTCCCAAATACTCAGGAGGCTGAGACAGGAGGATCACTTGAGCTGGAAAACTTTAGAGATTGCAGTGAACTATGACACCACTGCACTCTAGCCCAATATGAAGGCTGGGCCATGAGGAAGTGGAAGGTAGCAGGACTTATGGGCCCCCCTGTAAGAGGAGAAATGGCTGAGAAGCTCAGGTGGGGTCTCCAGTGGGAAAGTCAGGGCAGAGCTGCTGAGGAGGTGCCAGAGAATACCACGAACAGCCAGCCCCCTTCTCCTGCCAAAGAGCAAACACTGGGGCCAGAGTGAAGATCTGGATGGAAAGCTAAAGAAGGATGAGGCCCCTAGCTTTGTTCCATAGGGAAAGACATCAGGGTCTGAGAAAGCTGGGAATGAGTGCTGTGTGAGGTAGTGAGTACTCTGTCGCTAGGGTTCAAATGCAGAAGCCAGGACCTGTACAGGTGTTCTCTGCTGTGTATGAGTCTATTAGTTGTATGAGCTTCAGGCAAAGCCTGATCCACCAAAGACCGGGCCTCTTTCTCTCTTGCCTACCAGGACACTGGCTTCCTCCTAAGGTTGGTACCCCAAGCACTCACAAGCTCTGTGCTTACAGTTGCGACAGGCCATGGGCAATGTCCCTCTATCACAAGAGGTTTGGAAGGGCAGAGCTAACTGAAAATTGGGGCACTGCCCACAACCGCATGGAGGCACATGGAAGCTGACCAGAAAAGACCAGTGCCAGTCCCCTCTGAGGGTCATCTGCAGAGAGAGAAACTCCTGCCCTGAGAGGTAAGGCTGGGTGACTTCTCAGGTCTCCTCCCACTAAGGAATACTATGATTGGAAGTATGAAGCAAACACCTAGCTAATGCCTGTGGTTCATGGACAGAAGTGAGGGACTAGAAGGAGTTGGTGCTAGATGCCCCCTCAGACCAAGGCCACATCTGGCAGCAGCTTCAAGGTGACTTGGCTGGGAAGGTCAGGTCCTGAGAAGCCCTTTTAGGTTGGCTTCCCATACTTCTCACCTTCCCAGATGGCACTACCTTCAATGCGGGGCTACCTCAGCCATTTCCTGGGTCTATAACCACAAGGACTGATTGCTCTTTCAACTTTCTTCTGCTCCACTAGAGCCCTTTAAGGGAGATGGGAGAACTGCAATTTTCCTGGCATTGAGGATTACACAGTACGAGTGTTTATCTGTATGAGCAGCTCCCGGACCATAGAGAACACTCCATTCACCTAAGCTTACCTCACCATGGGTGATGATCCCAAGTCTGAATAACCTCCAAGGGTTGGGGGGAGGCCAAAGATGGGCCTCGACACTGGCTTTGGTTTGTTTTTGTTTGCTTTTGACATAATGGCTACTGTAGGTGGAGCTCACCTTAGGTCAACTTTTTTATCTCACAGCACTTCAACCTATAGTTAAACCTCCGTGGCTTACTTAAATGATGTTGATCAACACAAAGAGTAAAAAAAAGAACATACTTAATGGTGCTTTGAACTTCTTTTGAAAATAATTAATGATCTTTAAAAATGTTTGTGGCATACCTAAGATCCTCTCACCGCACAGGGGTTGGAAACCACTGCCATAGGCTATGGGGTCCCAGCCCTATCTTTCTACACACAGCCCTACCTGAACACACTGGCCATAACCCAGCCTGTTGTTTTGTTGTGCTGTCCACTAGGCTCCAGCAGGAATTAAGCCACCTCCCTCCCAGGAGGTGTGGTGAAGACAGGTGAAGCAGCTTTACTTAGGGAACCTCACATCAGGCAACATTTTATAAAACAGCAGGAGAACTGTGAACTACTGAACATCTTGAACCAGTCCTGCATTGACAGTAGGAGTCCAGGGCAGGAATGGCAGTTAGAATATACTCGTGTTATCTCATTTTCCTTTCCTTTTTTTTTTTTAAAGAGACAGGACCTCACTATGCTGCTCAGGCTGGAATACAGTGATGGCTACTGATTGAACTCCTGGACTTAAGCAATTCTCCTGTTTCAGCCTCCCAAGTAGCTGGGACTACAAGGGCATGCCACAATGCCTGGCTATATTCATTTCCTTACAACCTGCAGAGGAAGGCTATACAGACTTAAATATGTCTTAAAACAATGTGAAAGGCAACTATACTGAATTGGTTTTATTTAAATTTTACAGAAACCTGATTGGAATTAAGTATCTAATTATAAGTCCAGTAACAATTTCTATAAAAATGCACATACAATGCCAGAATTCCTTAAAAGCAACTAATATTATATTTTTGTTTTGCATAAAACATGCATTAATATCAACTGCCACAAGTTGGCCAAAATCAGTCCCTACAAGAAGAGACGGTCCAATATAGTCATAAGAAAACTAGTTGTGAACAAAGGTTAAAAAAGAGGTTTTCTGGTTCATGTGAGAAAGAAGGAACAGTACCTTTCATAAAACAAGCCCTTCAGCACTGGGGTATTTGGTACTACTGTGCTGCACATCACACATCACCTCTGAGACTTGGTCCTGACCTGTGATAGGAAATGAGGAACTTTCTAGTAGTTAAATCAGACATTTGAGAAGTTATAAACTTTCAGGACATGATGGTATACTAACAGTGTAATCCTGCAAAAGGGGTTGAAAACATCTTCAAATTTGGAAGAGTTCCTAAGCTGCTGACTGTAGACAACCTCAAAAACGCAGAGAGCCTTTTAACTGAGTCCTTTCCACAAGGCTGGCTCAGGGCACACAGGCATCTTCTGCAGCTATAAGACCTCCCAGCTCTATATACCCTTCACAAGGATCTCTAATTAAGAGGCTGAATACCAGAAAACATGGTATGTACCATTTCTTTGAGGCCTTGTCTTTTTGTAGGTCTAGTTCATTTTGATTAGGCATTGGTGGACACTCACATATGTGACTACTGGATAAAATGCTGTTGGTAACACACCTCAAAGTTGTCACCTACTGTCAGGAAAGATCTTGTTCCTCCACAGGGAAAGCACAACTGAGGGCTCTATATTTATTAAAAGGTGTTTTCCATATAGACTGAGGAGTTTTAAAGAGATTTCAGGCCAATTGGAAGCACTTCTTCTCAAAAATGGGATTTTATACACTTCATGAGGCTCTGTGAAAGAAGATCTCATAATCATCAAGGAACCAGCTGTGGACATTAACATTTATATACACAAAACTCATTTGTGTGGCCTAGGGCCTTGCTTGGAATCTCTTCCACAGAATGTCTCCTCCAAAACAGGCAATCGCTGCCCTATTCACCAAAGATGAGTCAGTATCTTTTTTCTTCAGCACAGATTCAAGGGGAAAAACAATAACCTACTGGGGTTCTAATAACATTTTCATAATACAACAATATCAAAATAGGTCCATTTTTAATATATGTTTATGAATATCCCTGATAATATAAAGAAATCCAGAGGACTTCGTAAACTACCAAGATTTCACAGGGGTGATACCCGGTCTGTTTTCTAGGCAGCAGAAAAGGGACTGATATACTGGCAAATTTCCTCTAGGAAGCCCTGTAAACACTACAGTACTGAAATTCAAATATTCTAGTGCCAGTAGAATCATGAATGAAAATTTCACTTTTAAACTTGTTAGTAAAATTCATAACAAAAGGTTTGCTTTCTCAACCCTGTCATCAGTCAATCTCCCTGCTTATGACAGATATCCAGGCCAGAAAACCAGCAGTCTTGGCTACTCTGGACATTAGGCCCACAGAATCCAAGTTCCAAGACCCTTTCTAAGCCATGACTAAACCTCAGAAAGCAGGAATGTGGGAGAAGGAGCAGACTAGGCCTGAGGAAATATTGAGCCAAGGCACCACGATCACAGGGGTGAAGGGGACCTGTAGAGAGGTTCTAGCTGATAGGAAGAGAACCTTCTGGGACGCTTACAGAGGAGGGCCTGGAAGGCAACAGCTCTGTGGCAAAGTACACATATTTGGGAGTTAAAGAACAAATTAGAAAAGAAACCAATTTGCTTTCTCAAACTGAACATCTTAAAATATATAAGCAAATAACCCTGGATATACTGGAGTAGAGGGGCTGAAGTCTGTGGAATGAGTTGCATTTAGCTGAGTCATAAAGACTGCTGGTTGTGAAATCAGCATCAACATTGTGGCTACTGCAGTTAAGGAAAGTGAAGGGAGGTCAAGGCCAGAAGAGGAGGCCTCTCCAAAGACAGGAGGACGGAAAGGGGACCAAATATGAAATGCCTCTTTTATTCCTAGGATGCGAAGTGGCATTGTCATTGGCCTGAGGAAGAAGCGTCATACTCCACTCTAGCTGCAGTAATACTGCATCCCATCCAATCTTCTCCTCTTTTTTGACTGAAATTCTTCAAAGAACTGTTGAATGTCTTCTCTCTTAACAACCTGTTGATGAAAAGCAAAGATTAGGAAAGGGAACTAAGTTACAGAACAGCAATAAAAGTCACAAACAAGTTAAACAATACTGCTGGTAAGAAGAACTTTAAGCTATAATTAATTATACTAGCTCCATTTTCTAGGAGGGATCATCAGGGCTCACAGAGGCTGACCTGTTCAAAGTCACACAGTTAGGAGGAATGGTTCAAAGCTTAGGTTCTACCACCTACCTCAGTTTCCCCATAGAAAATGAGATAAGGGCCAGGGACAGAGCTGCGTGGGGAAGACTTTCTGAAATGCCGACCGGAAACTTTAATTCGAAGCCGAGCTGGGGCGACCAGGTGGAAGAGGAGGGAGAGGACGACAAATGTGTCACCAGTGAGCTCCTCAAGGGGCTCCCTCTGCCCACTGGAGACACCAGCCCACAGCCCGACCTACTGCCCGGAGCTCCACTGCCACCTCCCAAGGAGGTCATCAATGGCAACATAAAGACAGTGACCGAGTACAAGATAGATGATGATGGCAAGAAGTTCAAGATTGTCCGCACCTTCAGGATTGAGACCTGGAAGGCCTCCAAGGCGGTTGCCAGGAGGAAGAACTGGAAGAAGTTTGGGAACTCAGAGTTTGACCCCCCAGGGCCCAATGTGGCCACCACTACCGTTAGTGATGATGTCTCTGTGACATTCATCACCAGCAAAGAGGATCTGAACTGCCAGGAGGAGGAGGACCCAATGAACAAGCTGAAGGGCCAGAAGATAGTGTCCTGCCACATCTGCAAGGGAGACCACTGGACCACCCGTTGCCCCTACAAGGACACCCTGGGGCCCATGCAGAAGGAGCTGGTGGAGCAGCTGGGCCTGTCCACTGGTGAGAAAGAGAAGCTGCCAGGAGAGCTGGAGCCTGTGCAGGCAGCTCAGAACAAGACAGGGAAATACGTGCCACCAAGCCTTCAGGATGGGGCCAGCCGCTGTGGGGAGTCCATGCAGCCTAACCGTAGAGCTGATGACAATGCCACCATCCATGTCACCAACCTGTCAGAGGACACACGTGAGACCAACCTACAGGAGCTCTTCCGGCCTTTTGGCTCCATCTCCCACATCTACCTGGCTAAGGACAAGACCACTGGCCAGTCCAAGGGCTTTGCCTTCATAAGCTTCCACCGCCGTGAGGATGCTGCACATGCCATTGCTGGGGTATCTGGCTTTGGCTACGATCATCTCATCCTCAATGTTGAGTGGGCCAAGCCATCTACCAACTAAGCCAGCTGCCACCATACCACTTGGCCCTGGACCCTTGGCAAAAGAAGGCAGCCTCTGATGGGGGCTCCAGCTTCAAGGACAATAAAAAGGCTCAAGATGCAAAAAAAAAAAAAAAAGAAAAGAAAAGAAAAAGAAAATGAGATAAAAGCAGCACCTATCTAACAGGATCATCTGAAGATGAGATGAACTATACAACTCTTAAAACACTGCCTAGCACACAGTAAGTTCTCAATAAATACTAGCTAAAAAGAAGAGTGGCAGAGCCAGCACACAAACTAAGAACTCTGAAGGTTTCCCCAGATCACTCTCATGGTCTCCTTACCACAGCTGTTTTTGAAACATGCTTCAGCTCTGCAAAAAGCATTCATAGAAACAGAAACCAAATCAGTTTTCAAGTTTTTGGGGCGGACAGAATCTTGCTCTGTAGCCCCAGATAGAGTGCTGTTGCACGAGCTTAGCTCACAGCAACCCCACACTCATGGACTCAAGTGATCCTCCTGCCTACACAGGTGCACCCCATGCCTGGCTAATTTTTCTTTTTTCCTTTTTTTTTCTTTTGAGATAGAGTCTCAAGCTGTTGCTCTGGGTAGAGTGCCATGGCGACATCATAGCTCACAGCAACCTCCAGCTCTTGAGCTGAAGCAATCCCCTTGCCTCAATTTTTTTGTATTTTTAGTAGAGACAGGGGTCTGGCTCTCACGCAGGATGGCCTCAAACCCATGAGCTCAAGTAATCCACCCACCTCGGGTGCTAGGAGGTCCTAGCACCTCCCAGAGTGCTAGGATTACAGGCATGAACCACCATGCTGGGTCTGATTTTTCTATTTTTAGTAGAGACAGGGTCCCACTCTTGCTCAGGCTGGTTTCAAGCTCCTGAGCTCAAGTGATCCTCCTACCTCAATAGGATTACAGTCGTGCGCTACTATGCTGTCCACCTTTGAGATTTTTGTTTTCTTCTTTATCAATATTAAAGAAGGTTTAGAAACTAACCAAACAAAAAAAGTTTCCTTCTTCATCTTTGACAAAGAAAAATACACCTTTCTTCTTGAGGAATTTAAAATGTTTTCTATGCAAACAGAAAAATAATTGGAAGAAAACAAACTAGAACCACTGCTTTTTGAGCTATGATCATAACACTGAGTGACACAGTGAAACCTTATCTCTAAAAAACAAAGAGAGAGAACTGTCTTTTATTTTATTAGAAGAGGTATTTATGATATTAGTAAAATAAAAAGCAAGAAATTAAGACACAGGGAAAATATGGATAGATTAAAAAAGCAATAAAAAAGAAAACTGAGACAACCCAGGAGTCCCTGCTTACCCCGAAAGTGAGTCTATGCCAGCTGATCCAATCAAAAGTTATCTACCAACCATCACAAGAGACAGCTTTGTTAACTTATGCTTTAATTACACAGATAACACATGCTTATTGTTAGAGAGGAAGACAGGCAGGGAGAATGAAGGAAAAAGAGCCACGTGAATGCCTGTGAGGAAGGGGAAAGAGAAACAGAAAGTAATAAAGAGGCAGATAAGGGGAAACCTCCCCCTGCTCTGTTCCCTGGTACTAACTTGCAGTAATTTTCTCCAGGTAAGGTACCTATTAATCTTCTAAGTGAAAGAATGTTAACATATTGTCAGTACTCTGCTACAGACCAGTAGCTGATACGTCAGTCTTATAAGCACCAAGAGTAAAACTGCTTGTCAACTGATAAGAAATTAGAACCCCTACCAGATTCAAGACCTAGATGGCTAACACATCCTGAAATAACTACTGCTCAAAGCTCTAATGTACTTGGCTAAATGACTTGGGAATTTCCACTTATAAAATGCTAATAAATATGACACTTGAAGGTTCCAAAATGAAGGAAATGTCCCTACCTTGTGTTACAAGTATTAACCACCAAAAGCCAGTAAAAAGAAGTGATATCTCTGGCTAGGATATTGTGGGAAAAGAAAATGGTGTGTGCAAGTTTTGGTTTCTAGATGTCCTTAAATGATACAGCCAAAATGCAGAGTAGAAATGCCGATGAATAAATCCTTGGGCTTAGTAATAAATAATTTTATTGTCTGAAAACTTTTAGTTGCTAACTTTTTTTATGGTCAGATACAAACATTAAAATAAAAGGTAGTCCATCATCTGAGAATATCTAAAACTTATTTATATTATGCCCTGTGGACAAATACAACCAGAACACATAGTCATCTTTTCTTTTTTTTGAGACAGAGTCTCATTATGTCGCCCTCAGTAGAGTGGCATAGTGTCACAGCTTACAGCAACTTCCAACTCTTGGGCTTAAGCAATTCTCTTGCCTCAGCCTCCCAAGTAGCTGGGACTACAGGTTGCCCACCACAACACCAGGCTGTTTTTTTGTTGCAGTTCTTTAGCTGGCCTGGGCTGGGTTTGAGCCTGCCACCTTCAGTGTGTTGCTGGCACCGTTAACAACTGTGCTACGGGAAGTCGAGCCAAACCTTTTTTTAAATTAACATGGCATAATGTGGCTTTCTTTCCAACCTGACTCTGGTATAGTATCACATGACAGAGAGCAGACCCCATTATCTTAACTCAAGCCTTCCTTTCTACCAAATTCTCTTTATCTTTTTTTTTTTTGAGAGTCTTACTTGGTCACCCTTTGTAGAATGCCGTGGTATCACAGCTCACAGCAACCTCAATGCTCCTGGGCTCAAGTGATTCTCTTGCCTCAGCCTCCTGAACAGCTGAGACTACAGGCACCTGCCACAATACCTGGCTATTTTTAGAGACAGGGTCTCGCTCTTGCTCAGGCTGGCCTCAAACCTGTGAGCTCAGGCAATCTACCCGCCTTGGCCTCCCAGAGTGCTAGGATTACAGGTGTGAGCCACTGAGCCCGGCCCCAAAGCTTTATTTCTTTCACCAAGTACAAATCAAAGAATCTCTGAACCTACCTATAACCTGTAAGCCCCTACTTCAAGATGCCCCACCTTTTCAGGCCAAACCAATATATACCTTCCATTTATTGATTTATGATTTCACCTATAATTCCTGTCTTCTTAAAATGTATAAAATCAAAGCTGTAACCTGACTGCCTCAGGACCAGCTACTCAGGCTTCTAGAGTTTATGGATCATAAACTCAATATGTCATTCATATTGGCTCAGAACAAACTTCTTTGAGTTATTTTAGACTTGGGTTGTTTTTTCTTGTTAACAACTTTTAAAAATAGGTTTCAAAAGTAAACTGAAAAAGACAACATATCTAATTTTTATCTAATTTTAAGAATGTATAAAATAAAATTAATAAATAGCACTGTAAGCTTGGCGCCTACGGCTCAAGCAGCTTAGATGCCAGCCACATACACCTGAGCTGCGAGTTCAAATCCAGCCTGGGCCCACCAAACAATAATGACGGCTACAACCAAAAAGAGAAAAAAATAATAGCCAGGCATTGAAGCAAGTGCCTATAGTCCTAGCTACTTGGAAGGTGGAGACAGGAGAATTACTTGAGCCCAGGAGTTAGAAGTTGCTGTGAGCTGTGATGCTATAGCACTCTACCCAGGGTGACAGCTTGAGGCTCTGTCTCAAAAAAATAAATGAATAAGAATAAAAAAATAAATAGCACCGTAACTACCAACTGCACAAGAACAGAGGTGATAGCACCAGAGGCAAGAAAGAGCCTTGGACACTTGAAACACCCTGAATGTCCGTTAATAGTGCAGAGGTTAAAACAGTCAGTCACCATTATACCTAAGAACATTCAGAAGCTTCAGTCTTCATTAACCAGATAACAGCCTTTGCAACAGAAATAAGAATAGGCTTGGTGCCTGTAGTTCAGCAGCTAGGGCACCAGCTACATGTACCACAACTGGCAGGTTCGAACCCAGCCCGGGCCTGCCAAACAACAATGACAACTACAACCAAAAAATAGCCAGGTGTTATGGTGGGTGCCTATAGTCCCAGCTACTCAGGAGGCTGAGGCAAGAGAATCACTTAAGCCCAAGAGTTTAAAGTTGCTGTGAGCTGTGACACCATAGCCCTCTTCTGAGGGCAACATAGTGAGACCCTGTCTCAAAAAAAAAAAAAGGAAAAAACAAGAAGTAAGAATAACTATAGTTTAAGAGCTGTGGAGAACGGCCAGGTACAGTGGGTCATGCCTGTAATCCCAGTGCTCTGGGAGGCCAAGACCAGTAGATTGCTTAAGCTCAGGAGTTCCAGACTCTATACATAAAGAGTGAGACCCCATCTCTAAAAAATAGTCAGGTGTTGTGGTGGGGACTAGTAGTCCCAGCTACTTGGGAAGCTGAGGCAAGAGGATCACTTGAGCCCAAGAGTTTGAGGTTGCTGTGAGCTATGACACCACAGTACTCTACCAAGGGCAACAAAGTGAGACTCAGTCTAAAACAAAGAACATCAAGAGGTTAAGAAACATTCACAACGATAGTAAAGAACATTCTCTAAAAACTGAGAAAAACATGTAGGAGAAAACCTCTGTCTGTGCAATTCATTTTGCAGAAAGGCAACACCATGATCTTGTCCTGAAATCCAGACAGCTAAGTGTCTTTCCCATATTTATGAGAAAGAAGAAAATGACCTAAAGTACACTGAAGAAGTTCCTTGGTAGAAATCTCTGTCCAGAGAAGCAAGTCTCAAGGAACTTCTGGGTATCCCTCAGACCCATAGCTGGCTATAGTAGAGAAAAACATTTACTGCTTATAAAGACAATCTTAGGCCATGAAGAGAAAAGTTAAATCTTGTTTTTTATCTGCCTTTGGAAGCTGGAAAAGTATTTTAGAAAAAACAAATTCATTGACAACACATGAATAAGAAAGGACAGAAAAGTACAAGTATTTGTAAATTTATCTGGACACGTATTTTAAGACATTACACATTTTAGAATCGGCTTTTAAAATATAGACTCTTCTACTAGCAAGAGACATTTTTTTAGTCCCAATGATAAAGTTCTTCTATTCTAAACTATGAAGCTCAAAAATCCCAGAAAATGGGTTTGCCTTTAATGTTTTCCTACCCAGTTGTTGCTCTCTTGCCCTCCTAAGGATCCATACTTCAAGGCCAGAACCAGCAGAATCAGCATCCTTGACTCCTTTTAATTTTCTCCTAAGCTGTAACTACTCTCTCCAGATTCTGGGGGACTGTTGCAACCCTCTGCCACAGCTACAGTTGGTAAGGACTCCTATCCCAACCCTTGTGTAGATTTCCCCTTGAAGATTTCCCTTGGCCTGCCAATATTCCTATAAATACTTTTTGCAGGAAATTCAAATGCCCCATTTAAGTTGCATAGTCATTTTTTATCATCAAAAGAAACAGTTTATTCAAAACTTACAAGGCTATGATTAAAATTCTTTAAGTCAACATACCGTGCCTTCATCAGCAAACCTCTTGAGATAGTCTTTAAGTTCAGTCTTCAAGTCATTGTATTCTAAATCAAAACCATAAAAGTACTTAAAATTTAAGATAAGCCATTTGTTTTCAAAACAAAATATATCTTTGCCATTGACATTGAGTATGTTTATACTGTAGTTTAAAACAAATTTTTCTCAAGTGAATCCTGCATAGAAACTTGTGCCCAAATTCTCTGGACTTTCTCCATGTTGATAGCTAGGACTCTTTCGCTCTTTTTTTTTAATTTGAAAATATTAGGGAGGGCTCAGTGCCCGTAACACAGTGGTTACGGCATCAGCCACATGCTCCAGGCCTGGCAGGTTCAAACCAGCCTGGGCCAGCTAAACAACAATGACAACTGCAACAAAAAATAGCCAGGCGTTGTGGTGGGTGCTTATAGTCCCAGCTACTCCGGAGGCTGAGGCAAGACAATCACTTAAGCCCAAGAGTTTGAGGTTGCTATGAGCTGTGACGCCACAGCACTCTACTGAGGGTGACATAGTGACACTCTGTCTCAAAAAAAAAAAAATTAGGGAGGTACAAAAGTTTGTTACATGATACCATGTATAATGTTTAAGTCCATGCTTTTAGTGTGTCTATCACCAGAATAGTGTTCACCAAATGCAATTTAAAAAAAAAAAAACAAACACAACAAAGCCCCACAAAAAGCAGAGATATCCTAATTCTCATAAAGATTAGCTAAAAATTTTTGAAAAGGTTTTCTATTTTTCTGGAATTCTAGTAATTGAAATAACCTGGAACTCATTAAACATTAAACCTTATTTTTTTTTTATTTTTTTGTTGTTGAGATCAGAGTTTATGTCGCCCTCGGTAGAGTGCTATGGCATCACAGCTCACAGCAAACTCAAACTCTTAGGCTTAAACAATTCTCTTGCCTCAGCATCCCAAGTAGCTGGGACTACAGGTGCCCACCACAATGCCCGGCTATTTTTTTGTTGCAGTTGTCATTGTTGTTTAGCCGGCCTGGGCTGGTTTTGAACCCACCAGTCTCGTTGTATGTGGCCAACAGCCTAACCACTGAGCTATGGGCATGGACTGAGCCATAAACATTAAATTTTAAAACTAAATCACTTAACAGTTTGTTATGTATGAGCAGCTGAGGGCTACAAAGTCTTTTAGATAGATGCATCCTCCATCCTCAAAAGCTTCTACTCTAATAAAGGAAAATAGAAATTAATCAACATTATGAGTAAAAGAAAAAAAGGATCACTGCCATAACAAAAGTGATGTTATGAGTAGAAACTGAGTAGAAACTGGCTAGTATAGAAATCATGGAAATCGGCTCGGTGCCTTATAGCTCAAGTGGCTAAGGTGCCAGCCACATACACCTAAGGTGGCGGGTTCAAATCCAGCCCAGGCCCGCCAAACAACAATGACAGCTGCAACCAAAAAATAGCCGGGAATTGTGGCAGGCACCTGTGGTCCCAGCTACTTGGGAGGCTGAGGCATGAGACTCGCTTGAACCCAGGAGTTGGAAGTTGCTGTGAGCTGTGATGCCACAGCACTCTCTCCAGGGGGACAGCTTGAGGCTCTGTCTCAAAAAAAAAAAAAAAAAAAAAAGAAATCATGGAAATCAGTTGGGCATGCTGGCAGGGAAAATGTAAAAGCTACAATTAAGGGTTTGAAGATATTTTCCCCTCTAGTGGTTTCCTGTGAACTACTGAAGCAACCTCAAGAACTGTCAAAAAGATGACACATAATACTCAAAGAAAATTACTTCAATGGATAGGAAATTTTTCTATTCTTCTTTATTTATACATCTACCCTTAATCAAAATAGCAGACATTGTGGTTTCTCAAGCATGTAATTATTCTAGCATGTAACCCTGATTCAACGGTAATAATAGCTAAATGTCTAGCAACATGAAAATCAAGCATCTGTAGTTGGGTCCTGCTATACAATTCAAATTTTAATTTTCTTTGTATTAAATTAAAAATATATGTTTATTACCCTCCTTGTATAAATTTTTTTACATAGTAAAGGAAACCTTAGGAACTCTATAAATTTTCACAAACAGTACTTACCACAAATCAGTTCGACTTGCTGGACTCTATTCATGCTGTTGAGCGTATCCATTAAAGGGTCTCTCCTATCAGTTGCCTGGTCAATCTTGCCTTTGTTTTCATAAGCCAGAACTGTGTCATATTCATCTGTCAGGAACAGGACATCTAGATCTCCATACATTTTCTTTAAAAAATAAGCCAGTTTCCCCATTAGAATAGTACTATCATTCTCAAAAGTCATAATTATTACTAAAATTGTAATTTTTTTAGATTAATATGTAGAAAAACCAAAGCTCTTAGCACAGTTTTTTGGAGAACTTCTTTGTTTAAAATTTCAAAAATTGGGCAGTGCCTATGGCTCAGTGGGCAGGATGTCAGCGCCATATACTGAGGGTGGCAGGTTTGAGCCCAGCCCTGACCAAACTGCAACAAAAAATAGCCGGGCATTTTGGCGGGCACTTGTAGCACCAGTTACTCTGGGGGCTGAGGCAAGAGAATTGCCTACGCCCAAGAGTTGGAGGTTGCTGTGAGTCATGACACCACAGCACCCTACCGAGCGTGTGTAAGACTCTGTCTCTAAAAAAAAAATAGATAGATAAATAAATGAAAATAAAATTTCAAAATTTTAGGAAGGTACAAATGTTTCCATTACCTAGATATCTTGTATAATGCTGAAGTCAAGGCTTTTAGTGTGTCTATCACCATAAAAGTGTTCATTGTACTTGAAAACTTTTACCCCTCATCCTCCTCCCACTCTCTGAAAAGACTTATTCTTTTTGCCCAGATTTCTTTCAGAAATCTTCCAATTTTTCATTAGATGTATGATCTATGAGATTTTTATTTAAAAACCACTGATTTGGCGTGGCCCCCATAGCATGGTGTGCATGGTTACAGCGCCAGCCACATGTACCGAGGCAGGCAGGTTCGAACCTGCCTAACCTAAACTGCTAAATAACGACAACTGCAACAAAAACAGCCAGGCATTATGGCGGGTCCCCCAGCTACTAGGGACACTGAGGCAAAAGAATTGCTTAAGCCCAAGAGTTGGAGGTTGCTGTGAGCTGTGATGCCATGGCACACTACCGAGGGCGACATAGTAAAACTCTGTCTCAAAAAAAAAACCAACCCACTGATTTACCATAACTTTCAAGCAATTTATGCTTCCAAGCAAATCTATGATTAAAAAAAAAAAAAAAAAGAACTGTTACTTTCTAGTAAAATTAAAGTGGCCTGGCATGGTGGCTCACACCTATAATCCTAGCACTTCGGGAAGCTGAGGTGAGAGGTTTGCTTGAAGCTAGGAGTTCAAGACCAGCATGAGCAAGAACAAGACCCATCTCTACAAAAAAAAAAAAGAAAAGAAAAGAAAAAGACAGAAAAATTAGCTGGGCATGGTAGCACATGCCTGTAGTTCCAGCTACCAAGGAAACTGAGGCAGAAGGACTGCTTGAGCCCAGGAGTTTCAGACTGCAGTGAACTATGATAATACCGTTGCATTCTGGCACAAGAGACAGAGTAAGACTCTGTCTTTAAAAAAAAAAAAAAAGATAAATATAACTATTACATAACTATTAATTTCTTCTACAATCAATCAGATTGCAAGTACTGCTTCATATATCTGCTTAGTATAAAAATTTTGAATCTCCTCCTGGGTGTGGTGGCTCACACCTATAATCCTAACACTCTGGGAGACCAAGGTAGGTGAACTGCTTGAGTTCAGAAGCTCAAGACCAGCCTGAGCAAAAACAAGACCCCATCTCTATTAAAAATAGAAATAAAAACCCAAAAAACCACTAGCTGGGCATGGTAGTAGCCACCTGTAGTCCCAGCTACTTGGAAACTGAGACAAGAGGATCACTCAAGGCTCAGTGCCTGTGGGTCAAGTGGCTAAGGCGCCAGCCACATACACCTAAGGTGGCGGGTTCAAATCCAGCCCGGGCCCGCCAAGCAACAATGATGGCTGCAACCAAAAAAATAGCCAGGTGTTGTGGCAGGCGCCTGTGGTCCCAGCTACTTGGGAGGCTGAGGCAGGAAACTCGCTTGAGCCCAGGAGTTGGAAGTTGCTGTGAGCTGTGATGCCATAGCACTCTTCCCAGGGGGACAGCTTGAGGCTCAAAAAAAAAAAAGAGGATCACTCAAGCCAAGAGTTTGAGATTACTGTGAACTAGGCTAACACCAGGGTACTCTATCTAGGGTTACAGAGTTAGACTGTCTCAAAAAAAAAAAAAAAAAAGAAAAGAAAAGAAAAAATTGGGGCCTGGTGGCTCATGCCTATAATCCTAACACTCTGGGAGGCAGAGGCAGGTAGATTGCCTGAGCTCACAGGTTCGAAACCAGCCTGAACCAGAACAAGACCCCATCTCTAAATACTAGCCAGGTGTTGTGGCGGGCACCTATAGTCCCAGCTACTCAGGAGGCTGAGGCAAAAAAATCACTTATGCCCAAGAGCTTGAGGTTGCTATGCACTATGACATCAGAGCATTCTACCAAGGGGGACAAAATGAGACTCTGTCTCAAAAAAAAAATTAAGTGTCTCCTACACACCTGTATTAATTCCACAAATATATTTTTCAGATATTCTTATTTTGTGTATCAGTACACAAGACACACTAACATTGAACTTAATCAGATACTTACCATACAGTCTTGGCAGGTGCATAACTTGCTACGCCAGTTCAGGGGCCAGTAGGTGGCAGTCTCTTTCTTTACAAACTGCTTAGCTTTAAGGTCTGTAAGTTTGCATCCAGATTGTGACTCAGTGTTGAGACTTTGATTCTTAAACATTGTCTGAAATAAAACAAAGTTCTGAAGTGTGTTTTTTAAACTATTATAGTTTTCATAGTTTAGATTTTGTAAATAGCTTTCTTTAGGCAAAGTATACAATTGAAATCCAAAGCTATAGAGCTTATAGAATTAACTTTGCTTAAGTTTTATTTCTTTTTTTCTTTCTTTCTTTTTTTTTTTTTTTTTAAACAGAGCCTCAAGCTGTTGCTCTGGATAGAGTGCCGGGGCATCACAGCTCACAGCAACCTCTAGCTCTTGGGCTTAAGCAATTCACTTGCCTCGGCCTCCCAAGTAGCTGAGACTACAGGTATCTGCCACAATGCCCAGCTATTTTTTGGTTGTAATTGTCATTGTTGTTTGGTGGGCCTGGACTGGATATAACCTGCCAGCTCTGGTGTATGTGGCTGGCACCTTAGCTGCTTGAACTATAGGCACCAAGCCTTAAGTTTTATTTCTTTATGGGTTGTATTTCATATATTACCTGGAGGTCACATTCAGAACTAGAGCTGGTACATGGTTCATTATTCTGCTCTGCTTTCACTTCCTTTATGGCATCCTTTCCACATTCTGGAACATCCTCTTTGAGGGTACTATCCTGATGACCTCCATTTTCAGATTTGATAGTGTCCTGATCACCAACATTCTGTACCAACCCATCATCCTCAGCAGATATTTTAGTTACTGTGGGTTCAATGAAAAAAAAAAAAAAACAAAGATGCACATATCCATAGACCTAGCAGACAGTAAAATCACTTTTTCAGATTTAAAAATATTTCAGAATCTGACAAAAAGAAAAGTCAACCTTAATCTCTGGAATAAAGATAAAGGAGTATCAGCACTTCTTTAAGATATGCCTAATCTAAATAATTCAAATAACTGAACCGTTCATTTGAAAATATCAATCATTACATAAGCACTTTATATGTAAAGGAGAAAAGAATATCCTTTAGCATGAGACTTCACTGTGAACACAGGCATCAGAGCAATTTTGAAAAATCCCAGCTTTTCTTCATGAGAAGGAAATAAACAATGGTAAGTGTATGCTGGGCAGGGTGGCTCAGGCCTGTAATCCAAGCACTTTGGGGGGCCAAGGAGAGGATTGCTTGAGCGAGCCCAGGAGTTTGAGAATAGCCTGGGCAATACAGTAAGACCATCTCTCTACAAAAAGTAAAATTAGCCAGGCATGGTGGCACACACCTATAGTCCCAGCTACTTTGGAGGCTGAGGCAGGAGGACACCTGTGCACAGGAGTTCAAAGCTGCAGTGAGCTGGCTCGGCGCCTGTGGCTCAACCGGCTAAGGCGCCAGCCACGTACACCTAAGGTGGCGGGTTCGAATCCCCAGCCCGGACCCGCCAAACAACAATGATGGCT